AATGAAGCCCTAATGGACCTAAAAGCCCAACCATTTGATAAATGGGCTAATATATGGGTTTGGAAAACCCTAATGCCATGAAACCCTAATTTTGGGATTTATCGGGACCGCGCGGGAATTACTTAGTAAACCTAAGATGTTAATTAATTATTAAACTTAAAATAATAATTAATAATCATTGGCAAGCTAACTTAAGGCAATAATGGACTTAATGGATTAAGTCCTTAAGGGGTTAAGTAAGAAACACTTAACCCTAATCATCATTTCATGTGAAAGCCCTAATCTCACTCGGGCCTTGAATTGGGCCTTCCTATTGGGCTTTGGCGATTGGACTATTGATGGACCATCCAAGAACAAGTTAATGGACCAAAGTAATTAGATAGGCTTTAGGATAAGGCCCATGTGAGGACTTGGGCCCAATTTGGAAAATTGGGCCATAGATGGGCCATAATTGGGCCTTTATGATTATGTGATAATGGGCCATGGGAATTGGATTGGAATAATTGGATAGGCCTTAAGGAAATACCATGTAGAGGTCTGGGCCCAATTTGGAAGATTGGGCCATATGTTGGGCTTTGGCCATCATTTGACTTTTGGGCTTTTGTAGTGTGAGTTGGACCTTGGGCTTGGGACCCAATTATTAATTGGGTATTGTTTGATGTTGACAGTTCGGGAAGCTGTCAACCAGCAGCTAGAGTTTATTCTGCGGGACTTCAGCAGTGTCAGGTGAGTTCTCCTCACTATATCAACAGGGTCTACGACACCAAGACCGGCCCTTTATGATTGCATCCTGGTTTTAGGATGTTGCTATGCTATGTGATATGTTAGATCTGTATGATTATCTGTGCATATGTTAGTGACCTGGTTAGGTCGGTATCCTGGTTATAGGATGTTGTTATGCTATGTGATCTATTAGATCCGTATGATTATCTGTACATATGTTAGTGACCTGGTTAGGTCAGTATCTTGGGCATAGGATGATGCTATATTAGTGACCGGTTAGGTCGGTATCCTAGTTATAGAATGTTGTTATGCTATTTGATCTGTTAGATCGGTTGACTGTTATATATGCTAGCGTATGATATGTATGTGCACATGTTTGTTTGATTGGGGGTTTGGGTTGAAGCGGTCCTGCTTTGTGCTGAAGGCCAACATACCCAGGGCGGTCCGGATAGACTACAGACCCAGGAGGGTATGATAGTCAAACCGAAGGCCCGGCGAGCGGTCCGGATAGGCTGAAGGCTCTACGAGGCGGTCCAGACGTGCCGAAGGCTCGGAGAGCGGTCCAGATAGACTGAAGGCCTGCGAGGCAGTCCAGTCAGGCTGAAGGCTCATATGCAGGTTGTTCTGTATTTGTATTGATATAATATTTGTTCTGGTTAGTATGGGTTGGTATTTTGGGGGTAACTTACTAAGCCTTCGAGCTTACATTTATCGAATATTGTTTCAGGTACTTCTGATGATCGCGGGAAGGCGAAGGCGTGATCGTACAACTCCTCATATTTCATGGTTTTATGATTTGATTATGGGGATACCCTGATGTTTAAACTATTTTGAAAAAAAAACTGTAATCACTTAATGTTTTTTAAATGTATTAAAAAGTTTTAAATTAGCTTGAATTTTATGGGTGTTACAGAGTCAGCTAGGGTTTTCCCAACCTTTGGACACGCGTGAACTTGACGAGTTGCAAGGGTAACTCGACGAGTTGGCTAGGGAGTTCATGGCCACCAACATTAGGAACTCGACGAGTCACTCAAGTGACTCGGCGAGTCGACGAGTTATGCAAGGAACTCGGCGAGTGGCTGGTTGTACTCGATGAGTTCAGGTCAACATGGACTGTTGACTTTGACAGTTGACTTTGATTTTGACCAAGGGTTGACTATTGGACTTCTGGGGCATTTTGGGAATTTATGAACATGGTTTGATGGTAACTATAGGTGGTGGAGTTCGTGTCAGTGATCCGAGAGGTTGAGCTTATCTTTCGAGTCGACAGTTGCAAGGTGAGTTATCATCACTATATCAACAGGGTCTAAGGCACCAAGACCGACCCTTTATGGATTTGTATCCGGATTATGGCATGATATGTTATTGATTACATCCTGGTAGTTAGGATGATGATATGCTTATGCTTAGTGACCTAGTTAGGTCAGTGCCCTGGTTATAGGATGATGTTATGTTAGTGACCGGTTAGGTCTGTATCCCGGTTATTGGGATGTTGCTATGATTAGTGATCTGTTAGATCAGTTTGATTGTTATATGATATGAGCCAGCGTATGATATTTATGTGCACGTGTTTGTTTGTTTGGGGGTTGGGTTGAGGCGGTCCTGCTTTGTGTTGTAGGCCAACATACCCGGCGGGCGGTCCGGATAGGCTGTAGGCCCTGCGAGGCGGTCCAGTCAGGCTGAAGGCTCATTATGCATGTTATTCTGTATTTGTTGATACGATATGATTATGGTTATATGAGGTTGGTATTTTGGGGGTAACTCACTAAGCTTTCGGGCTTACAGTTTCATTTTACTATTTCAGGTACATCATGAGATCGCGGCAAGGCAAAGGCGTAATCGTACTACTCCTCATATTTTGTTTATGTTTCTGGAAAAACTCTGATATTATACATTTTGAAAACAAGTTTGTAATGATGTAATGGTTTTGAAATGTTTTTTTTAAGTTCAAATTTGGCTTGATTTTATGGGTGTTACAAAAGCTCAGGATAGATCTCATCCACAAGATAGTACCCAAATTTGTATTCCATTCCTCGGAGTATAAATGACGAATCTGGAGCAGTACCGTCATACACCTTGTTGAATATTAGTGAGTTATTGAGAATATTAATATCATTAAGCGAATCGGCACTATCGAAAAAAGGCATGCCAGATCCACAAATCCTGTGAGGCTACAACTTCAAGCACAACCGTAGGATAATGATAACTGCCCTTTGTGTATTTTCCATGATATGCCTTAGGACACATACTCCATTTCCAATGCATGCAATCTAAACTTCCTAACATTCCAGACAAACCATGCACATTTCCATGATGAGCATACAACTTTGTATGTCACTAGCAGTAGGACGATGTAAATATCATGGACCATACAAAGACATGTCAACAATGCAAAATTCGTGAAGACTTTCTCGGGCGATACGTGCGAACATCCTAAAACTCTCGTCTAGTGCATCAGGGGGGTGGCATATGCTAACATACGAAATACAAAAGTATATTTTTGAATTGGATCAAAGCCTAACGTACCTCTTGCGTCTGTGTAATCTTCGGGACTTTTTAGATCTAGCAATTTTCGAGTGCCCTTCACAACTCCCCAAAACAACTCATTGGAAAAAGTTATTCTGACTTTCGCCTTGTAAATATTTTGAACTTTAGCCATGACATCCACCTCAGTTGCACCGCTTTGGGGGTTTTTTATCGCGTTAATATAGATGTCGTTGAACTCCATTTCGGCTCGGTTGGCGGTCCTCCACTTCGAGTAAAGTGAATCGGGGTTGCATGTCTTCTTTTTCATGTAGTGACAAAAGTTATGCCAAACTTTTTCATTGAAAATTGTTAAGTCTTGGTCTTTTCCATGGATCGGTTCCTCCGACACATCTAGCCATGATTGAGCTAGTGCACTCTCTTCATCATATGTCCACCCTCTACATGGAGCCCTCCATTTTCCTTTTTTTGTGCTTGTGTCTCGACTTCGGACTCTTGAAATGATTATTGAACGGGATCTTCAACGGGACCTCCATCGGAAGAATCAGTTGACTCGTCGAGTAGGCGGTGTGGTTGGGATTGAAAGTTAGTTTGCGATTGGGGTTGAGAAAAGAATTGAGTTTCTTGAACCGTTTCAAACGGATCAAGATCCACATTCGAACGAGGTGTTGGTTAAGATTGGTTGTGGTAAAATCTCATTGGTTAAGAAGAGAACGGATTAAATGGAAACATTTATGGAGCCATTGTAGGAAAGTAGTAGCTAGACGGAGAGTGAATTGGTTGATCAAATGATCGTTGATAACATAGTGGTGATGGAAGGTTTGGGGATGGAAGGTTTGGTGATTGAGTGTTTGGAGGTAGAAGGTTTAGTGATGGAAGGTTTGAAGCTTTCTTTTTGTTGGTTCTTAGGGTTTTCTTTGTTTGAAATGAGGACATTTTTGTGTTGGTGAATTGAGAGACTATGTGAGGGAGATAATGATATTTTTTTGTGTGTGTGTGAAATGTTAAGTGTGTGGTTTGATTTATAGTATTTGAATTATAGATGAGGGTTTGGTTGAAAGTTTCATGAATTAGGTTGAAATGTATATATATGTTTTTTTTAGTTAAAATGTATATAAATGTATATAAATGTTTTTTTAGTTAAATGTATATAAAATTAGTTGAATTAGGTTGAAATGTATATAAATGTTTTTTTTAGTTAAAATGTATATAAATGTATGTAAATGTTTTTTTAGTTAAATGTATATAAAATTGTTTGGTGGAGAATAAATGAGGAGGGAGTGGTTGAAATTTAAATTTGTTGAATTGAATTTGGTCAAAAGTCTTTAATCCGGACCAACCCCCTTGAACCAATCACAGACGTGTCTTTGCTTCTCTTTCTTCTCACCAATATTGCAACGAGTGGCATATAGCGAGCCCCCTAGTGAGCGCTAGGGGGCGGTGTTCCAGAGCCCATAACGAACGTAGTGAATGCATGTAGCGAGTCCACTCCGTTTAGTATAATGGTATAGATTTTTTAGGATTTTTGAGACATATATTGATACTTTGAAACTATCAAATATGAGGTTTGTGGTTATTTAAGACTTTAAGTGGTTTGTCAAAAAATATCGAATTGTAAAATGCCAAAGGTGACTATGCCTTAAATTTCAAGCCAAGAAGTAGAATTTTCAAATTAGGGTTTCAACTCGTAAAAACAAGAAAACTTCGAAGCCTCGTGCTTCGAGTGTGTAGTGGACCTAGTGGTGCTTAACAAGGCGGCATATTTTCATATCTCACTCCTGCAACCCTCAAAAATGTCTACCCTTTCTCGCATCTTCCGCACTTTCTCCACTTCCGTCTCCAACCCACCGGCGAAATCGATCTACGAAGACCTCTACAAAGAGCGGAATCTCAAAAGGGTGGTAGAGAAATTCAAGAAGTGCTCAGAATCACATCTGTTCCGTAAACAAGCCAACGTTTACGGCAACATAGTCCGCCGTCTCGCCTCCGCCAGGAAATACAAATGGGTCGAGGAGATTCTCGAGGACCAGAAACAATATCATGAGATTTCCAAAGAAGGATTTGCTGTTCGGTTGATTTCTTTGTATGGAAAATCAGGTATGCTTGATCACGCTTCCAAGGTGTTCGACGAAATGCCTGAGCGAAAATGCCCGCAGACTGTTAAATCGTTCAATGCACTTCTCGGGGCGTGTGTTAACGCGAAGAAGTTCGATAAGCTTGACGGATTCTTCCGCGAGTTGCCTGAGAAACTCTCCTTGAAACCGGATATTGTCTCGTATAACACTGCGATCAAAGCTTTCTGTGAGATGGGTTCGTTTGATTCGGCTGCAACTATATTTGACGAAATCGAAAAGAACGGATTGGAGCCTGATTTGATTACTTTTAATACTTTGCTCATCGGATTTTACGGAAACGGTAGGTTTCTCGAAGGTGAGAGATTTTGGGGGAAGATGATGAACACTAGCCTTTCACCCGATATCAGAACTTACAACGCTAAATTGGTTGGACTGGTTTCCGAGAAGAAATTAGCCGAAGCTGTTGAACTTTTTGACAAATTGGAGTCTAAAAATGTTAAGCCTGATGAGTTTAGCTACAATGCTATCATCAATGGTTTCTGCAACAATAGCGACTTGAAGGAAGCAAAGAATTGGTACGCTAAATTAGGGCAAAGTGATTCTACTCCTAATAAAGCGACATTTGCAGCTCTGATTCGTTTGGCTTGTAAAGTGGGCGATTTTGATTGGGCGATTGAGCTTTTTGAGCAAACGATTGAAGAAAAATGTCTTGTTGATCCAAATGTTATGCAACTTGTGATCCATGGATTGGTTAAGGAGAAGAAAATTGAAGATGCTAAGAAGCTTGTGGGGATTGGGAACTCGAATAAGTTTAGAAAATACAATCTGATCGTGCCTGCAGATGAGTGATATATGAAGTATGAACTTCGATTCTTGTTTTCATTAGATGTTTTCAAGATTGATATAAAAAGAAGTTCTAGAAACGCAAGTGATTTGCTTTGTTTAGTTGAGTTTACCATTTACAATAGGGTTTGTTTCTTGTTCTTTTGAATGTCGTATTTTTGAGCTTGTTTTGGCTTCCATTTGGTTGAGCTTATATATTGAAATGGTGGTTTTATGGTTATGCCATTGTACTATTGTAGTTGGTGATAAATTGAATTAGTGATAGGTAGTTTTTTGAGGATGTTTCTTTTTAGGGAAATGAACTCTAATAAACATTTTTTTGCGGTGTTTTACAAAAAATAGAAAAAAAAAATGGTTGTTTCCACATATAGACATGGATTCTGTAAAGCTAGCTCGGAGGGCTCCGCAGAATTAACTATAGCACCGAGTAATCGAGGTGGCAAAAAAAAAATCTCAAGATCCTACCAACAAACATTTTAAAACATAAAAAATACATATTTATCCATAAGTAAATCATAAAGTTAATAATAAATATTTGAAACATAAAAAATACATTTATAATAGATTATTTAACAATAAATAATTCAAAATGGTATTCTATGTATTTAGCCCAAAAAAATATTTGAATTTTTTTAAAAAAATATATAATAATGATTAACGATCCGATCCTACCGCGATCCTACCAAAAAACAATCCAAATAAAATCGGGATCGATTTACCTAGGTGAGATCGTACGATCCTACTATAAGGATCATGATTTTAATCTTCAGCGTTCATTCCTCGGAGGAGCTCCGTGGAACTGTTCTTTAGTTATTTATTTATTTATTTATTTTTATTTATTGACGGATCGATTCTTCGGAGGGAGCTTCGTGAAACTGTTCTTCAGCGTTCATTCCTCGGAGGAACTCCGCAGAACTGTTCTTCAACTTTTTTTTTTAAGAATCAATTCCTCGGAGCTACAGTTAATTCCACAGAGCCCTCGGAGCTAGCTCTATAGAATCCATGTCTATACGTGGAAACAACCATTTTCTTGTCTATTTTTTTTGTAAAACACCACCAAAAAAATTGTCTATTAGGGTCCATTTCCCTTCTTTTTATGATCCTGAATACAAACTATGTGCAAATATTATTTTTGGAAAAGATTTGTAGAATAACTAGGGTAGTACTGCCACACCTTGTTGAAAATGTATGTATGTACAATGGCTAAGACATGGTTTACGTAAATATCTAATTTGATCATACGTAATAAAATTTATTTTTTTGGTCAGTGAAGTAGTAGAAACGATTTCTTAAGTAATTAAAATTGTAGAAAAAATATATAAAAGAGATGGTAGTTTAAAATCAGAGAAAAGAATCACTTTTATAAAAGCGCTTATGGTTGTGTAAAAACTAACTGAAATTTGTTTACATGTTTTTTTTAACCATATATAGTATATAAATATAATATGTGCATTTCTAAGTCAAAAATGGCATATCCATACAATAATATACTGTTCTCTAGTAAAATAATAGTAGAACCCCTTATAACATTAAGATTTTAAGATCAACTCAAAGAATTCAGCTTCTTTTCAAGTAATTTAGCACGTCTAAGAGCATCCAACGCCTCCCCTTGCTTTCCCGCCCGTTTCAACTTCACCGCATTCACCTTCGCCGCCTTTATCTCCTCCTCCAACTCCACCCTCTCACTCTTCTTCACCACCGCGCCACCGCCTCCACCTCAACCTTCTTCACCACCGCCTTCTCCGGCGAAGGCCGAGCACCAACACCACCACCACCTTCTATCCCCACTTCCCTAAGAGCAAACAAAAGTTGAGGATCAAGAAGATCCTCAACGCCTACATCATCACCAGGAGGCGGTTTCACCGTCTCACTGGCGGCCTCGAGCTGACTCTCGAGATTTTTAGCCAATTCAAACTCGGCTTCCGCCTCCTCATTCTTCCCTTCCCTTCTCAACTTTAATGCTTTCCTTTTATGCCCCAAAGATTCTTGTTGCAATTTGAACCGCTCCCGAGACGATAATTTCACCGATGGTGGTGGTGAACTCTCGCTGGTTCCTTCCGGTTCCATAGCAATTGAACCGCTCGGTTCACTAGTAACCGGAACCGGAACCGGACTCGGACCCTGGGTTCGATCCACCGTGTCTGTGTCTGTGTCTATGTTCATGTCTCGGTTTTTGTTTTCTAAAAGTTTAGCCAACTTCAATTCCTCCTTGGCTTCGGTTAACCTTCCTTCTCTTTTCAAGCTAAGTGCTTTTCTCTTGTGAGCCATCACCCGTTCCTGGACTGATCCCAACTCGGCTGACTCGGTTGACTCGGTAGACTTAGTTACCAAAGCTGGTGCCTTTTCTTCTACCATAACTTCAACGGTTTGAGGCTCCGTTTTTTCAACGATATTTTTGTCCAAATTCTGATTTGGTCCTTCGAGTTCTGCTAATTGCGCTTCTAACCCTTTTGTTTTTTGTAAAACCTCTTCCGCCTCATCAACCTTCCCTTCGCGTCTCAAAGCGAGGGATTTTCGTTTTAGGGCCAATAGTTCACGTTGAATCTCGGTTTTACTTTGTGGTTTTGGTGTTGAAAAGTCAACAACTTTGACTTTGGGAACTTCTTTTTCTTCTTCTTGCCAACCGAGGTTTTGTAAAAGTGATAAATAAGACGGATCGTTCATATCCGTGTCAGTTACATCCTCATCTTCATCTTCAACCTCCATTGGTGTCGAAAAGTCAATGGGCTTGACCGTAGGTTTGACTTTCGGACCACTTTCCAACTCTTGGAGTTGCTCTTCAAGAGCTTTCCCTTTTGCCAATTCTTGATCCGCTTCGTCAGCTTTTCCTTCCCTTCTTAAAGCAAGAGCTTTCTTCTTTAAGGCAAGAAGCTCTCTTTGAATTGCTAACTTGCTCTTTGGGCCTGTTTTTGGACCCGGTTTCAGGCCCGAATCCAGTTCTAATGATGCACCCGGATCATTATTTTCTCCTTTCTCGAGCATTTTAGCCTTTTTCAGAAGTGCCAATGCTTCATCGGTTTGACCCGCCCGTTTCTTGATTAATGCTTCTCTTTTTAAAGATTGTATTTTTTCACTTAACACCGCCATGTCATCATTGACCGAATGATCTTCTTCGGTCCACCCTAAAGATTGCAAAGCAGCCGACATTTCAGGGTCGTCCATATCTTCTTCGGTCACATCAAAATCGAGTTGATGGTCAAAGTCAAAGTCAACATCAATGTTGTGATTCCGATTCCGGTCATTCCCGGATGCTAAAATGTCTTGTTTATCAATGTCCATGCTACGCATCAATGACTTGAACTCGTCATCGGAATCGGAATCGGAATCATCGCCTAACAACTCCCGTTCTTCGATTTGTTTTTCAAGAATTTTGGCTTTTTTTAGTTCTTCTTTCGCTTCAGTGAGCTTCCCTTCGCGCTTAAAGGCGAGTGCTTTTTTCTTAATAGCAATAACCTCGGATTTGTCGATTCCAACATTACCCTTTTCGGTTTTAGTACTCTTCTGAGAGACTTGTTTAAGTAGGGTTGATAATTCTCCTTCCAAAGTCATGTTCACTGGTTTTTTATCAGCATCATGAAGATCATGATCAGACCATCCAAGTTCTCTGAGTTCATTAACAAGATCATCTTTTTGTTTCGGTTGTTTTTCAATTCCAGCCTTTGAGTTTTCATTTCCACTGGTGGATGAAAGAGCCTTCTTACGGTTTTTCCTTAATTCAATCTCTAAAGCTCCCGCTTGTCTTTCAAGCTCCTTTCCCCTTTTGAAAGCTCTCAATGCTTCTTCTGGCTTTCCTTCTGCTTTTAGAGTTTTATGTTTTTTCTTTTCTTCAACGGCTTTTTGCCTCAGTTCTTCGGGAGTAGTTGACTCACAGTCAACCTCCATGTCGGTGTTCGAAGATGAAGCACTTGGACGCAAGTGAACCGATCCTTTTTCTGATGAAATTGATTCGTTTCCTAAGAGATCATCTTCATTATCAGATGCAAGTTTTGAAGCCCCTGCAAAAGAGACCAAAACACCCTGTTTGTTACATAGAACTAGACAAGCTTCCTTATGAGGAGGGCATTCATGTCTTTTGCACAGAGGAGAAAGAGAGTGAGTCCCTGTATGAATTGGACAAGAAAAAGATACAAAACTGACCTTTTCTACTTTTATTCTTGTGTCCATACCGCATTTCAAAACGAGCTGCCTCTTCTAAAGTTTTACAGGGTTCACAAATACGAACAGGTGAATCACCCTGTCCTCTTAAGTACATTCTTTGTTGGGTACAGCTGCCACAGAACAAGCCTCCACATCTTCGGCAATGGTGCTGCAAATTCACATATATGCATACATCACCATTAAGAATTGACATGATTCTAAAGCAGATAACTGATAAGAAACTGAAAAAGAAATGTGTAAACTAAGAAAAGCAACCAAGAACTTGCTGATAATGTCTACTACTAAAGAATATTTCCTCAGAAGTGAAAAAACATACTACATAAACTCAAAGAACAAATGCATCCGGCTTATGCATGTTTAAGAATTACCCTTTTTAATAGAATATGATTATCTAATAACGATTTTCAATCTGAGTCTTGGCTAATGCTAGTGATCATCAAAGTTATTAGTGTAATCTAAACCTTAGAGAACTATAAGTCATCATATGAATTCAAGTCCCAAATAGCAAGTAGTTCAGATCCGTTGTAGTTCATTTAAACAAGTTTAAGCTCAATTTTTGAACTACTTTTAGTATTTGTTGCATTCTCGAATGTATTTATAACGATTCTCCAAATATTGATTGAATCATGTCAAGTTCGAAGGCGGATCGTAGTTAATTGACTTTGAGAAGTCAACTAGGATTTTACGATGGAGCTGATTGGAAGTTCCATCAAGTTCAAGCAAAATTTAACAATCGATCTCCCTCGATTAAAGACAAAATATGAACAAGGGTTTAAAGTGTACTAATAATTTTGAAGTCGTAAAAGTAGGTAAGTTAAATCCGATCAAACCTTGCGATTGATGAAAGAAAACTGGGAAGAGCATCCTTGGCAATGTGTCGCATCGATCACCCAATTATTTCCTCTCAGCGATGGTTTCGGAGGCAATCCGATCTTCTCCAACATCTTTATCGATGAAACACGGAATTTGGAAACCAAAAGGAGAGGAAATCGATTAGTATGATGTAATCTTTCAACAAAAGGGAAAATTGGATCAAATTTGTAACTTATACCAAGGAAATCGGATGAGAGTTTGTATTTGATGGATCAATCCACGGTTAATTAGATAAACTTAGGGCTCCCAAATCCCAATTGGGGATAAAGCCCATTTAATCAAAAGAAGTCCGACCCGAAACCCAATTGCAAAAAAACACCACTTTACCACATCATGGGACATGGGTCGTTTTTTGTCTTGTTACACCGTTAAATGATTAAATCAGTGTGATCTCAAATTGAACCGACCCATGTTAGAAAATAGGCTAGAAAATAGAATATCGATAATCAAGAATCGATAGATCATAGATCATTTAAGGTCATTTTACTTCTTGACAATTCTTGCATAAGTCCGATTTAACAATAAATTCAATGTATTATAAATCATGGAAAAACAATGGAAGTTTTAGACAAAAAACAACAACTTTTTTTCCAGACACGTATATAGAATGTTAATTTCCGTAGGAGAGTTTTCAAATAGGCGAAATATGAATGTGTATATAGATATACTCATCTATCCAAAAGTTGATAATGGCAACGAAATGAACGAATTTTGTAGTTGGAAAACAGGTTTGTGATAAACTAGCCGGACTACTCGAGCTGTATGGTTGAAGTTGTCACAGACAATTTGAGCTGTAATGAAGGTGTCTCTTATCTGCCTTCGAGCATATCCAAAATAAGCATGTTTCTTCAACTTTTCTTCATTTTGAATATATTTTTCCGCTGCATTCAAAGTCCAAAACTTTATAGAGGTTTTGAGACTATTGTTAGGGTTAGTCCCTTGACCCCGACAGGAGGCGTGACCTAAGTAACCCTCGTCTGTCGTGATGTTCGGGATCAAACATGTCTTATATAAAAAGTATGCACTTTGCGCCACTTACTTGTATATTATATCACAATTTAAATCTCCATTTGGCACTCGTATTAATTCTAAATACATAAAATGGAAGGTGACACTAAAATCACTCACAAACCATTTACAAAACCAAGATTTTATAGTTTAAAAGTATTAAAAAAGTTATCTCAATTCAAATTTGAAAAACTCGTTTTGGGGTTTCATTTCAAACAATGAACTTGTTGCTCAAAAAACTCTAATATTGAAAATTAGAGTTAATAGAGTCGGTACCCATTTGATTCTTCGACTTTTGTAAAATATCTTGAACAATGAACGTGTATTGCTTCGATCCAGTTATACTGATTATCATAACAGCAAACGAAGTAAACATGACCTAAAGTGAGACATCGTCCGCCGTATTATCCATGGGATCACATAAGCTATAAACACAATCATAGGAGGTTTAATTGAATTACTTACAGTTGGATGCACTCTAAGTTGATTTAGAAATGAATATTAATGTAAAACTAGGATCCAGAGCAACATCCTTCTAATGGCATCACACCTATGGGCAATATCCAGGAGCAAACATTGAGTGTTGGCACAACAAACTAATATACCTTGCAATATGAATCTTAGTGCCTTGGAAACTCTTTTAAAAACCATAATTTAGCTTTGGAAATCATCCATGCAAGAATGTCAAATATAAGGCAAAGTCTCACGTACATAGTTTATGCAAAATGGATGCAAGTCGTATATGGTAATTCAACAAAAAAAGTATCTTTGTGGTGAATATTAGTTGATCGACTACAAGTCGTATATGGTAAAACCTTTATATTTGTTTGTAAGAACGTTTATTAAATCCACATCATATAATCAAGAAGAAAAAAACAAGCAGCGTCATTAATTGTAATTAAACTCTAAAATACCCCGATAAATTGACAAAATAAAATGTAGATAAAATGTGACGATTCACGATTTCTTTTCTATTAAAAACATTTACATGATAAAGTTTTGAACAATAATGAAACGTGTTCTTTTGTATTTAATCTCTTTCAAAAATTCAAAAATAATTATTTTAGATTTAATGTGGTTAATTGGTAAACTAATCGACAAAAATGCCGACATAAACTTTACAAAGAAATAAGAGCAAAGTAATTAGGTCCCCTGTCGAGTTTTGAATGTCATGAAGATTATGCACGTGTACATTGAACAAAGCAAAGTGCATGATGACACTTCATTTGAAACCTTTTATGTTTTCGTTTTATAAATATCGTGGAAACAATCAAGAGGTTGTTAGGATGTAATAGCATTTATAACGGTGAGTTTAATGAGATAGTTGAATAAAGTGGCAAATCTATTTGTTATTCAATAGTTTAAATTTTACCATAGTGACATGTCATCTTGACATTTAATGAATCTTGAGTTTAATGGTCATTAAACTCTTTAATGAGAAAAATTAAAGTTTTTAATTCTTAAATATATCCTATAAATTAATTTTTATAATTTTCTATTGAACTTTGTAGAATTCAATGCATTGTAGAAAAAAATTGTAGAAAAAAAATTGATAAAGTTGTATACAGTTCAATGCATTATGAATGCCTAATAAAACTTTCAAGTTTCCATAATTCAATTAGGAGTAAAGTTCATAAATGCTCCCTGTAGTTTGTTCAAATTCATAGTTTTTGTTTAACTTTAAAAAATAATTAGACAAAACTCTAGAAATCGATCACTAGTCTAATTTGAGTACATTTACAGGATAAACCTCAGCATAAAACTGAAGAGTAACGGAAGCAAATGATGGAGTTTAGTAGTTCCTCATATAAAATTATTAACTCTAAAGATATAGTAATATGGAGAAGACAAAATTGTTTTAAGCACTGAGAGAACCTAAAGAGTCCCTTCTTTCAAAGACAAGAGGACAGATTATTCACATTTCATTTGATGGTTAGAGGCGAATTGAAAGCTAAGTAGTGGTTTGTGAAAAATTGTGGATAGGTCCAAAAAGTTTTGAACTTGCATGAGAGATTCAAAATTAGGAATTTTCTATAGTTTTGGTCATCATAAACTTGAAAGGGCAATTTTGCCCTTTTTATTTATTTATTTTTTCTCATATTATTTTTAATACTTTAAAAATTAAAAGTAAATAACAATAGAATGGGTCCACCACTCATCCTTCCAACGTACCTCTCTCTCTCTCTCTATCTCTCTCTCTCTCTCTCTCTCTCTCTCTCTATATATATATATATATATATATATATATATATATATATATATATATATATATATATCCCTTATTCTTCCTCACTTGCAAATCAAACTCATAAACACAAACACGTGTACACTGAAAATTAAAAAAAAAACATATGGTGGTCGTCGATGACATTGTGGAGGGGTGGAGGAGATGTTACGGTTGGAAGCAGTGATAAGGAGGTCATTGAACCTTTTATAGATGGAGATTCATCTCTGAACGGCGTAGGATCGGATTGCTATGTAAGGAAATTATCGGTGACAGAAGACGGCCATGGGATGTCGGAAAACTGAAACATAAGTTTCGGTGTCCGGAGCCTGGTGGTTCTAAAGGTTATAGCACATACACCACCTATGTCGGATTCAGATTCTAACTCGAAGACAATGGGGTTGAAGTATGTGCGTGGGGAGAGAGAGAGAGAGAGGGGAGAGAGAGAGAGAGAGAGAGAGAGAGAGAGAGAGAGAGAAAGAAATAGAGAGGTACAGGTGGAGTGAATGTTGGTGAATTGTTTCACTAAGTGTATTTAAGTGTAATGGATTGACTTGTTGACCAAAATTAATCTTGAATATTAAACAAGTAAGGAAGGTGTGGAGTACATACTTGTTTAAGTTTATTCAAGATTTTAAGTAAGGGCTAAATTGATTTCGGAATTGGTTTGAAGTCGGAACAAAAACAATTTCGGAATAAGTAAGTGTTGGATCGAAACTGATTTCGGAGTATAGTTGATTTCAGACTAATACTGAGTTTGTAATTTGAAATGATGTGAATGCAATTAGATGCGAATGAGATATGAATGTGGTTAGATGTGAATGAGATGTGAATGCAATCATATGCGAATGAGATGTGAATGCAATCAGATGCGAATAAGATTTCGGAATATTGGATGCGAATGCACTTTCGCAACGATAGTATGTTACTATTCAATTGTGATCGATCGCAACTAGTTGTAACACATAATTTTGGTAGTTTCGCATCGAGTTGGATGGTACTGTTCATTTCGCATCAGAATAATCATTGATGGTTCGCATCGGTATGACCCATATAGGATCGCATCACAACGATTCATTGGAACAATCGCAACGAACTTATTTTCGCAACCATGAATCGCAACAAACTTGCGTCGAAACACGTGCTGGTCAGTATTATATCCAACGGCTAAAATGATTGTTCTGCGTCAGGTTTGACGGATTGGTGGATATTCATCGGTTAAACTTATTGTCCAGCGGTTAAAAGCCCGTTTTGTGTCAGTTTTTTAACGTTGCAATTGTCTTGTGACGGTTTTAAACCAATTGACATATTTAAGCAATTTTTTGGTCAAACTCAATACGTATGGTACTTTATGCTGAAGAACTCAACGGGAAAAACAAAACTTCTCATTCTCTTTCTTATTCTCAAACTTCTGAGTATTATCCAATTGAGTATTTGGGAGTACCACCCAAATACTTTGATTTGAAAGTGTAAATAACGATCTCAGAATTTCCAAGTGTTTTAATCCCAAATCATCAACAGAAATAGAAAGATATTTCTAACAAAAATCGAAGTATTTTTGTGATCATGGCTAGTGCGATTATGTGAAGGATATGACAAGCAAGTTTGATCAACTGAACAAGTTTGAATGGCAAGATTTCCGTAGATGGCAAAAGAAGATGCATTTTCTCCTTACTACTCTGAAAGTGGTGTATGTTCTGAGTAAACCCATGCCAGAATTTGCTGAATATGAAACTCTAGAGGCAACAAGAAGAATATCAAATTGGGACAATGATGACTACTTCTGTCTTGGCCATATTCTCAATGGTATGTCTGATTGTATGTTTGATATCTATCAAAATGTTGAAACTGCAAAAGAATTATGGGATTCTCTTGAATCCAAGTACATGACAGAAGATGCTTCAAGTAAGAAGTTTCTTGTCGGTAACTTTATGGGTTACAAGATGTATGACTCCAGGCCTGTTGTGGAACAATTCCATGAAAT